ATATATATATATATATATTATATNTATTAGTATATATATATATATATATATATAATATATATATATATATATATATATATATTGTGTGTGTGTGTGTGTATATATTTATATGTATATGTATATGTATGTATATATATATATATATATGTATGTGATTATGATCATGTTTGTATGGATGTGCGTGAGTGTAACGTCGTTCTCTGTCCTATGGGCACTTGCATCGCTTCTCGTACTCGTTCTACAATATCGTACTCGTTGCCATATGTAGTACAATTAAATACGTTATAGGGTATATACAAACCTGAGAAGCCCTAAACGCCGATAGATCCTTTGTATAGCAATCGGTACACACAGTCAACAACGCACACAGATAGCACAAGATACGCACCTCGCACCCGCATAGAAAACCCTAAACTCCTAGAACCCTATCTTCTATACCCTAAACCCCTATAACAAACATGAGTACGGTTCATTTTGACAGTGACATTAGTATGTGCCATGTGGTAGGCGTGTGTATAGGGACCCTTGAGATGATTTTAGGGTGTTGGGTTTGCTGGTTTAGGGTTTTAGGGTGTAGGATTTCAGTCAAGTGTATATGCTCGAGAGTCCCTAGGGGTTGGTTAATTCTATTGTCAATGCCTGTCTGTCCACAGTCGAAGTAATAAACGGACTGTGCACTCACTCAGAGACCACACAGAGTGCTTTGATCCTCTACAGTCTAGCTCACTTACCCGCAGGGCTCCGTTCCTTCTCGTTATAGGTATATAACTAACTATCACACAGACTGTCACTACTGTATATAGCTAACTATATAAGTATATAACTAATTAACTCACAGACTGTCATTGCATATGAGTATATAACTAACTATATAAGTATATAACTAACTGTATAAGTATGTAACTAACTGTGTAAGTATATAACTAACTAACACACAAACTGACATTACTGTATATAGCTAGTTATATATAAGTATATAACTAATTAACTCACAGACTGTCATTACATATGGATATATAACTAACTATATAAGTAATAACTAACTGTATAAGTATATAACTAGCTAACACACAGACTGTCATTACTGTATATAACTAGTATATTATTACATCTGAGTATATAACTAACTATATAAGTATATAACTAACTGTATATGTATATAACTAACTGTATAAGTATATAACTAGCTAACACACAGACTGCCATTACTGTATATAGCTAGCTATATAAGTATATAACTAACTAACTCACAGACTGTCATTACAAATGGGTATATAACTAACTATATAAGTAATAACTAGCTGTATAAGTATATAACTAGCTAACACACAGACTGTCATTACTGTATATAACTAGCTATATAAGTATATAACTAACTGTATAAGTATACAACTAACTAACACAGAGACTGTCATTACTTCTATGTATATTACTAGCACACAGACTGTCATTACTTCTATGTATATTGCTAGCGAACACACAAACTGTCATTACTTAAAAGTGTGTAACTAACTATATATAAGTATATAACTAACTATCGCACAGACTGTCAATACTTCTATGTATATAACTAACTATATAGGTATATAACTAGCTAACACGCAGACTGTGTACTCACACAGACACCCCACAGATTGCCTTGATCCTCAACAGTCTCGTGCGTGAGTGTCTTCTGCTGTCTCCATCAGCCGCAGAGACAATGCATTCAGAACACCCGATGGCCCACGAGACTACGCCAGGTAGGTCTATTAATAGAATGTATGTGTCTATTAATAGAAAGTATGTGTATGTATGTGTATATTTGTATAGTACTATAGTTCTATATTTGTATAGTACTATAGTACTATATATGACTTCAGTGATGGCACTTGGTGCTTATGACATGTTTTTATCTCAGTCCCACCGTCGATCTCAAAGCAAGTCTCATTCTCGTTCTCTAACTCACATCGCTCCTTCTGTATTGTTCACCCCCTCACCTGTCGCATATTCTGTCGCAAAATCTGTTGCACATCATGTTGCATATTATGTTGCATAATCTGTCGCATATTCTGTCGCATATTCTGTTGCATATTCTGTTGCATATTCTGTCGCACATCCTGTGTGTGTGTTTAAAATGCACGCACTCTGCGCTCTCGTGCGTCATCTGTTGTGCATGGTGTGGGCTCGTGTGTGTGTGTGTGTGTGTACATACACACACTGTTCCTCTACCGTTGTGTGGTTGGTATTCGTATGCGCTTGACTTATTCTCGTGTGCATGTTCATGTACAACTGTGTGTCGACTGTTTGTGTTTGGTGGTTTACGTGTGTATGTGCCTTCACGCTTTTGACGTATGTGTGTCTGCTATTCGTGTGTGGTTTCGTATATATATGTATATATATATATAGCTAGCGACATCACACAGAACACCCTGTGTCCCACGCTACAAGCATTTGTCCGAGGCAGTGCACTTGATCCGTCCACAGCTATTCGTCTGGCTCAGTACACAGCCGACGCCAACCCAGCTGTAGTGGTTGAACATAGTCTGCAGGTGAGCTCTATTTATATCCACACATGCTTGATATTGGTTATACTTTGAACATTCAATCTATGTCCACACGTGCCTGATATTTGAGCATATAGAAGATACCTTCTATCTTTTTGGGTTTATCTTGGTAGTTGATTTATATTTCACACCTCTTGATCTCCATGATTTTCTACTGAGAGTCTATTCCCACTTGTGACACTGATAATGTCCATGCGAGTATATATATATATATGTGTGTGTGTGTGTGTGTGTGTATACAATATCTTCAAAGCTAAATCCGCATCGCACCACCATCCACAGGCCCTCATGCGCATCCGCCTGAATGCCAGTGAGCGTGTGCGGTTGGCCTATTGTTCGGCGCAGTTGTACAGTCGCTGTCCTTATGCACTGCACACGTTGTGTCGTGTGGCTCTCACACACTACGCCATGCGATTGGAGACGGTGGACCAGGCCGATGCGCTGAGTGTGTACATCTCGCGAGCTTTTGCGTGCGAGTACTATGGAGGTTTGCAGGTATGTGTGTGTGCGTGTATATATATATAAGTGTGTATATGTGTGTATGTGTGTATGTGTTTATGCTCGTATGTATCTATATCTACATCGCACACTACACCATGCGACTGGAGACGGTGGGCCAGGCTGCTGCGCTGAGTGTGTACATCTCGCGTGCTTTTGCGTGCGAGTACTATGGAGGTTTGGAGGTATGTGTATGTGAGGGTGTGTGTGTGTGTGTATGTGTATGTGAGTGTGTGTGTGTGTGTTTGTATGTGTGTATGTGCGTATGTGTTTATACTCGTATGTTTCTATATCTACATCTCGCTCGTTGTGCTGTGTTACCCCTACACACTACGCTACAGGTCTGGAGACAATGGACCCAGCTGATGCGCTGAGTGGTGTTTGTGTCTGTGTCTGTGTCTGAGTCTACCATTCATCACATACCACTCATCACATACATATAGCATTCGCCACATACATATACCACTCATCGAATACATACCCCACTCATCACATACATATACCATTCACCACATACATATACCACTCATCACATACATCTACCACTCATCACATACATATACCACTAATCACATACATATACCACTCATCACATACATATACCATTCATCACATACATATACCATTCACCACCTACATATGCCACTCATCACATACATCTACCACTCACCACCTACATCTACCACTCATCACATACATTTACCATTCACCACATACATTTACCATTCACCACATACATCTACCACCCATCTCACCCGTCCCCCCCCACCCCACGTGCCGCGTGCGTAGGCTGCAGATAACTCTTATCTGCGCCAGTGCAGTAACGCTCTCTTCTCACTGTGTGTGGAGAACCTCCGCGACGCCATGGCACACTCCACCTCCGATCTACGCAGCTATCTCGTCGTACAGATACTCACGGCCTTGTCAGATATGCCTCAGGTAGGGTTTAGGGGGTAGGATTAAGGGATAGGGTTTAGTGTTGTCGGAGAGAGAGCATGCGCCAGTGGACTGCTACCTTTAGTGTTGTACTTTTACGCATGATGGAGTGCGTGTATTGGCATACTCCTGTAGGTGTACTATCTTTCACACTTCACATATGGCCAACAGTGCTTTACACGCGAGAATGTTTTGATAGAGTAAATGCTAACGGGCTTGTCAGATATGCCACAATTGGTATCCTCTCTCGCGTATTCCTAGTGCTAGTAAGAGCTGTTACGTATATATATATATATATATATATATATATATATATATATATATATATATATATATATATATGCGTGTGTATGTGTATGTATGTGTGTGTGTGTGTGTGATTCTAATCGGTTTATGCATATTTATAACTTTTCACACTTCGTATTTGGCGGACAATGCTTAATCCACAAACAACGTCTGATTAAAAATATTCTGGCGGGTCTGTCAGATATGCCTCGGGAAGTGTAGTCTATGTCGTATGGCAAGTGCTTGTGACTGAGATTAACACATCTAGGGTGTTTGTTATACCTTCGTTAAATGTTCATTTATTTATGTCCACTCGCTACCTTTCCCACTTCGTGTATGGCCGGTATATCTATATACACGGATATATCCGGTAAGTATATACTGGCAAAGGTACCCTGCCCTGCTAAGCACCTATCCTCTGTTCTTAGCTTTGCATTGTCATCCTTATACCACAGGAGGTACTGGCGGCTCTGGATGTCCCCTTCTCGTTCCTGTGTGACTATGTCAGTGCGTTTGGCATGGAGCCTATTCTGTTGTGTGACTTGACCCACAGCCAGGCCAGGAAGGAGTGCGCCGACTATTACTGCCAATAGACTCTTAACAAACTGAATAGTTCTACAGAGATCTGTACCACATCTCTCGTGACCTATTGATTTTGCTTCGTGAGATCGTCTGGGTTGAAGGCTCGCCATGGATTTGCTTCGCACCCGATTATCCCTAGTTAGATACACCCAAGTATTTGGACCACGCACACACCTGTGTGTGATGCGGGTGTTTCATAGGCTCTGCTTAGCCCAGATGAATAGTACCGTGAAAGTATATGTATGGATTGCCTGGCTATGAACTGGCTGAAAGACTTGGGGTGTTTGTGAAGACGCTGGAAGGAGCACTACCTTTGTTCACAATATACCAGTATTTAGCTCGTGTAAAGTAAATGGCACCCCCCTGACATTATCTCTGTGCGTTGGTTTGCTGTATTCGAACACACTTGGTACAGCAAGTAAACATCGATTAGGAATTTAGAAATCATTTGATATTTCGTACGTAAAAGGCTGCTGTAGTAATCTCTCACTTTAGTCAATCGTGTCCAGCTCAGAAAGATGTACTAGAAAAATAATAGTCGCGAGAAGCTGATTGAAATCATGTACATTATTTGGCAATGATCCAACTTCAGCATTGCAACTTCAGATATACCTAGCGATACTACATCAGTGTGAAAGATACAAAACTTCGCTCTATATTATTGATACATAAAGAGGGCTTTGAGTGCTTCAGCTGACTATAGATACGAGCAGTTGATCGTATCTGATGCTGGATTTAGAATATCTGCCACGACCAAAACTATGAAGACTGCCAAAAAAGTGTCTCGACTGCCTATAAATACGAACAGTTGATCCTATCTGATGCTGGTGTTAGGATATCTGCCACGACCAAAACTATTAACAGGACTGTTATAAAAGTGCCCCAAATGGCTATAGATAAAAGCAGTTGATCCTCTCTGATGATGGTTTTGGGATATCTGTTGATAATTTTAGGGTATCTGATGATGGTTTTATGATGTCTGCCGCGACCAAAACCATTAACAGGACTGCTATAAAAGTGTGTCGACTGGCCATAGATACGAGCAGTTGATCCTATCTGATGATGGTTTTAGGATATCTGCCACGACCAAAACTATTAACAGGACTGCTATAAAAGTACCTCGACTGGATATAGATACGAGCAGTTGATCCTATACGATGATGGTTTTGAGATATCTGATGATAATATTATGATATCTGATGATGGTTTCAGGATATCTGCCGCGACCAAAACTACTAACAGACTACTATAAAAGTGTCTGGACCGGCTATAGATACGAGCAGTTGATCCCATCTGATACTGATTTTAGGATATCTGCCACGACCAAAATTAGTAACAAGACTGCTATAGAAGTGTCTCGACTGGATATAGATACGGGCAGTTGACCCTATCTGATGGTGGTTTTAGGATACATGAAACTGGTTCTAGGATATCTACCACGACCAAAATTATTAACAGGACTGCTAAAAAAGTGCCTTGACTGGCTATAGATACTAGCAGTTGATCCTATATGATGATGGTTTATGATATCTGCCGCGACCAAAACTATTAACAGGACTGCTATAACGGTGTGTCGACTGGCTATAGATACGAGCAGTTGATCCTATATGATGATGGTTTTAGGATCTCCGATAATGGTTTTAAGATATCTGATGATGATTTTAGGATATCTACCGCGACCAAAACTATTAACAGGACTACTATAAAAGGGTCTCGACTGGCTATAGATACGAGAAGTTGATCCTATCAGTGATAGTTTTAGTATATCTGATACTGGTTTTAGGATATCTGCCACGACCATAACTACTAACATGACTCCTAAAAAAGTGTCCCGACTGGCTATAGATACGAGCAGTTGATCCTATCTGATGATGGTTTTAGGATATATGATAATGGTTTTAGGATATCTGGATGATGATTTTAGGATATCTGCCACGACCAAAACTATTAACAGGACTGCTATAAAAGTGTCTCGACTGGCTATAGATACGAGCAGTTGATCCTATCTAATGATAGTTTTAGGATATCTGATACTGGTTTTATAATATCTGCCACGACCAAAACCTTTAACAGGACTGCTATAAACGTTTCTCAACTGGCTGTAGATACGAGCAGTTGATCCTATATGATACTGGTTCTAGGATATCTGCCACGACCAAAACTTTTAACAGGACTACTATAAAAGTATCTCGACTGGCTATAGATACGAGCATTCGATCCTATCTGAGGCTGGTATTAGGATATCTAACACGACCAAAACTACTAACAGATTACTATATAAGTGCCTGGACCGGCTATAGATACGAGCAGTTGATCCTATCTGATGATGGTTTTAGGATATCTGATACTGGTTTTAGGATATCTGCCACGACCAAACCTATTAACAGGACTCCTATAAAAGTGCCTTGACTGGCTATAGATACGAGCAGTTGAACCTATATGATGATGGTTTAGGATATTATCTAATGATAGTTTTAGGATATCAGCCACGACTAAAATTACTAACAGGACTGCTTTAAAATTGCCTCAACTAGCTATAGGTACAAGCAGTTGATCCTATCTGATGCTGGTTTCAGGATATCTGATACTGGTTTTAGGATATCTGCTACGACCAAAATTATTAACAGGACTACTATAAAAGTGCCTTGACTGGCTATAGATACGAGCAGTTGATCCTATATGATGATGGTTTTAGGATATCCGATAATGTTTTTAAGATATCTGATGATGATTTTAAGATATCTACCGCGACCAAAACTATTAACAGGACTACTATAAAAGGGTCTCGACTGGCTATAGATACGATATGTTGATCCTATATGATGAAGGTTTTGGGATATCTGATGATGATTTTAGGATATTTGATGATGGTTTTAGGATATCTGCCGCGACCAAAACTATAAACAGGAGTGCTATAAAAGTGTGTTGACTGGCTATAGATATGAGCAGTTGATCCTATATGATGATGATTTTAGGATATCTGATGATGGTTTTTAAGATATCTGCCGCGACCAAAACTATAAACAGGAGTGCTATAAAAGGGTGTCGACTGGATATAGATACGAGCAGTTGATACTATATGATGAAGGTTTTGGGATATCTGATGATGATTTTAGGATATTTGATGATGGTTTTAGGATATCTGCTGCAACCAAAACTAATAACAGGACTACTATAAAAGTGTCTGTACCAGCTATAGATACGAGCAGTTAGTCCTATATGATGATGGTTTATGATATTTGATGCTGATTTTAGGATATCTAATGATGGTTTTAGGATATCTGCTACGACCAAAATTATTAGCAGGACAGCTATAAAAGTGCCTCGACTTCTGGCTATAGATACGAGCAGTTGATCCTATCTGAAGATGGTTTCACAATATCTGATACTGCTTTTAGGATATCTGCCACGACCAAAACTAGTAACAGGACTTCTATAAAGGTGTCTCGACTGGCTATAGATACGAGCTGTAGATCCGATCTGATAATGGTTTTAGGAAATCGGTTACGGGTTTCAGGATATCTACCACGACCAAAACTATTAACAGGACTCCTATAAAAGTGCCCTGACTGGCTATAGATACGAGCAGTTGTTCCTATATGATGATGGTTTAGGATATTATCTAATGATGGTTTTAGGATATCATCCACGACCAAAATTACTAACAGGACTGCTTTCAAAATGCCTCAACTGGCTATAGGTACAAACAGTTGATCCTATCTGATGATGGTTTTAGGATATCTGATACTGGTTTTAGGTTATCTGCTACGACCAAAATTATTAACAGGACTGCTATAGAAGTGTCTTGACTGGCTAAAGATACGGGCAGTTGATCCTATCTTATGGTGGTTTTAGGATATCTGATACTTGTTCTAGGATATCTATGTAAACTTCAATGGAAATTACTAGGTTTCAAACTATATTAAACTAAAATACAATTTAGTCAGTTAGGATTTAGCAGTGGTAGCTTGTGTAAGAATGATCGGGACTGCCTCTTGTTAAGAGCCTAAATA